GCCTTCATAAGATGGACCTCACCTTCCTTTCTTCCTCTACACAACACACTGCTCGCTGCAGAGACAGCATATCTCGGTGGGAATGTCCTCTACAGAGTCTCATACAATAACCTTCGCCCCTGTACTTTTAAAACTAGAACGTCAGCACAGTGAAGCGAAGGGCTCAGCTATAGTAGATGACAAACGTTCCATGTTCTTCAGAAATGTACTAAATTTCAATTTTCAGGTGCCCTCGACCAATTCGGCAAAGTCGACCTGAGCAAGACGTCTTACTATGGACAGCCGTATGACTACAAGTCGATTCTTCACTACGATAGTCTGGCTTTTAGTAAAAATGGCTTCCCGACAATGTTGCCGAAGCAGAAATGTGAGTACAAGCTTTATATATTTCCATAAGGTTTTCTTAAAGGAATGCTGTTAGTGCATACGGTATCTGGGTGCAGAACAGCGGCTTTTGGTAAACCCGAGGTGCTCGTTTGATTACTTTAAATACACAGTTGGCTTCTGCCTACTTTCCAGTTGAGTTTGTAAATCTACCGAAGAGCTCCAGCAAAGGCGTAGTCAAAGTTGAGAACGCTTGGTGTACTGATGGCCAAGTGGTTAGAGGGTTAGCCTAGTACGATAATAGGTCAGGGGTTCGACTCCTCGTTACACAACAGTCCTTGGTTTTGTATTTCATCGCACATTCTTTACATTTTAACTTTTACTGTGTTGAAGCGAGCTTTTTTGCAGTCAAATAAATCAGAAGCTCTTCCTTAGCTACATTCTTTTTCGCAGACTATGAGCAGTGAGGTGGGTGGGGCCAGGTACCCAAGGGGATGCCGGCCGCGTTCAAACATGTTAAAACACGGAGAATTGGCGAAATGTCGATTAGTTCTTTTCGTTTCAATACGCTTCTTTGCTTTTCAGCTCCCTTTGCAGTCCAAAGCAAGTTTGGCCCCGCCTACCTCACTAGTCATAGTCACCAAAAAAGAGAGTAGTTCCCAAATAAGATAAGAATTACCTGTATTCT